TTTTATAATTATTCGATTTCTTCAAAATAAATTGAAAATAATGATTTGTCACTCTGAAACATTTTATAATCATTTCATAAAAGCAAACATCTCAAATTTTATATTCAGAAGAAAATTGCTGCTATATCGAAAATAAAATATATTATTTGCATTGATTCCCATTTTCGTTTTATAAGACGCGACAATTTTGACAGCTTATCACAAGAAAATAACAAATGATAGAAATTTCGCTGTAGGATCTATAAAAAGACCATAGTTTTATCTTCAATTTGCATATTCTATATTCTAATTAGCATGAGTAGTTATCGAATAATTAAATTATTCAACTTTGAAGCATTTTATAATTATTCGATTTCTCCAAAATAAATTGAAAATAATGATTTTTTACTCTGAAACATTTTATAATCATTTCATAAAAGCAAACATCTCAAATTTTATATTCAGAAGAAAATTGCTACTATATCGAAAATAAAATATATTATTTGTATTCATTCCCATTTTGTTTTACAAGACGCGACAATTTTAACAGTTTATCACAAGAAAATAACAAATGATAGAAATTTCGCAGTAGGATCAATAAAAAGAGCATAGTTTTATCTTCAATTTGCATATTTCATATTCTAATTATCATGAGTAGTTATCGAATAATTAAATTATTCAACTTTGAAAACATTTTGTAAAAAAAAAGTAACACAAACAACACAAATCTTGAAGTAGGCTCATTTGAAAGGTTAGAGTTTAGATATCATTAATACGCAAAATTTGGATAATCAATTATTACTATAAATCTTTTATAATATTTAAACATGAGCATTAATTATTCCATCTGAATTTTTTGAAACATTTCAAAAGTATAATTTGAACAATTAACAGAGATATGCGTTAATAATTATTATTACTTACCAATTTTTATTTTAGAACATTTATTTATATAATTATCAATAATGTAATAAATATATAGGTAAAATATAATTTGCTTGTTTCGTTTGAGGTTGTGTCTGTATGGACTGAAACTGAAATGTCACTATTCCCTCCACAATTCGATTATGTAATGCTTTTCTTTATAGGCTATCTGGCAAATGATCGTCTATGAAGCTACGGTTACGATCCTATCAAAATAATGACTGAAATCCAATTAGTTGACAATAAGGGTGGCGCTTCTTAATTGTTATCGATCGGCTAATTGCGAGGATTCCCATTTAGGTATCAGTGTGAAACGCGATCTCAGCTATGGCGTACATTGATAGAAAGCACGATGTAACTTTTCTGAAGAAGATTTACAGAGTAGGCAACTTTTTCGGTATCTGTCCCATCTACAGTTTCGAACATAAAGAGCTGATTTTCAGACGCGCGTATAACGTTTACCTGCTGATCGCATGCGTCGCTTACGTGATCGGTACTTATTGCAGCATGTACGAGACATACCAGCACGCTTTGGTCAAGATGAAATTCCTGCAAATCGTGACAGCTGCTCCAACCACGCTGAGCTTGAACATCCATCCCTTAATCAATGTCATCCAAATTTTAATAACGGACAAACTGTGGGAAGATCTTTTGCGAGGCCTCCAGAACGTGGACAGATCTTTCAGGGGACTCGTTCAACGCAAAAAACGCTCCTACTATTTATTGGAGGTCGTATCCAGTCACCTGTTAATATGTTACATCAGCTTCGGAATGGTAACTTTTCGTCTCTTGAACGGTAGACTTCCCGACTACGAAACCATGAACGCCATCTGCAGATACGTGCTGTACGTGCGCTGCATCCTCATCTACAATTTCGCTGTTTGCCTGGGTCACAGGTTCGAAATTCTCGCTGAAAACCTTGCGTCCATCGATAACGCTTTCGGCGTTTACTCGAAACTCTGCGATTTAATTGAGACGTTCAACCGATTGTTCGGGCTGGATATGCTCCTCTTCTTCGCGGACATGCTTCTCTGCTTCGTACTCTTCATCAACTTGCTGCTCTATCCGTTCCGAAAGAAAACCCCTTGGGAAATTTCCATACAGACGATCCGCATCATTCACAGCTTTTTCACTTTAGTAAGTTAATAACGGGGAAGGCCGCATACCAAAACTCCATTACTCAACGTATACAATTATTAGATCTAATTTCAAACAAAAGAAAATTATTTTTTTAATTAATTTCTTTGCAAATATTCGTGATAAAATATTGAATCAGAAATCGATTAATTCCAATTCATGGAAAGTAAATCCACATTTTATGCTGTTAAATTGACGAGTTTCACGTCCAGTAATAATAATAATAGTGAAAAAATCATTGAATTCCCCCAAACGGGTGCAGATTTGATTCTCTCGCATTTAATCCATTTGCCAGATTTTTATGAAACGATAAATGTACGGATTATTCTGTTTTTTTTTAAAGGGCATTCGAATTGCCAGTTAACTGCATTTTACGATGTGAATACCATAAGCTACAAAAATAATCATTTTGTATCAGTTACAATTTCAATATTTAACTTTATATTAATAGTTTAGTTGATTTCATATTATTTGTTTATTACTATTAAGATATTAAAAGCAATATTTTTATTAATAAAATAAATAAAACAGCGAGAAAATTGCAAAGTATGCGTAGGTGGATAATGGAGGAGATAGGGTAATGAATGTATCGAAGGTGGTTAGTGTCATATTGCGTTGTCAGGCGAGGCTTTCAAATTAGCGACGTCCCCAGCGAATATCTGTCCTAATGAGAGCAAAACAAGGACTGCAAGGATTACGTTATGTAGTTTATGTGATTAGAGGGCGTGCTGGAAAGGGGAACGAAGCGGATTATATGTAGAGCAAACGCGTAATTAAGTTCGCTTTGATTCAATATTGATTTACCGCGGATTCCCTGCGGCGGTGATTTACCGCAAACGCAAATTAATTGCTGGTGAAAAATTACAATTACAACAACAACAACAACAAAAAAAACTTGATTTCCATATGCAAAACTTAACAAATATTGAATCATCGAATCAGAGATTCAAATCATTGCAGTTTTTGTTTTTGTTTTCGCAGGTGACTTTGACTGGAATAACGTGGGCGTGCGAAAGGGCGACCGCGAACGCCTCAGGTATATCCTTGGTCGCGGTGAAACTGATCCAGGCCAGATCCCAGGAGAGGACGAAACTGCGTCTGCTCTACCTGAGGTTGAAGAGCAGACCGAAATTCACCGTTTGGGGCCTGTTCGAATTGAATTCGAGCAACCTGCTCGGCTCCTTCGGGACTTTGGTCTCCTATCTGATCCTCGCGTTGAACACCAAGTAGTAATAACAGTAGGAGCTACTACACATATCTAAACTCGCAGCATTGTCTGCGGACAATTTCCCATTTGCGCGCTGCGTTCGAGATTAATTCCGGTTTTAATTAAGAATCTTATTAAACTCTCTGTTATTATGTGAGGGGAGGTGGAGGCCGCCCCTCGACAATTACATCGCTCAGATGAAAATAACTCACTGAAACGTTCCCTCGCTTCCTCCATCTTCCTCTCTGAGCCAGTCCAATTCTGGCATTCCCTAAATCTCCCAGTACACTTAATTGTAATTATTCATTACACTCGGTCGAAATTTTGCTAACCTTTTTGCGAAGAATTCTCTCTCCCACTGTTACAACACACGAATTCGAAACATTGCAAGTGGTGCAAATCACCAATAGTTCTTTGTTTTACTTGAAATAAATAAAGTTAAGGTTAAAACACAGCAATGTCTTTAATTTCTGGAAAATCAACTAGAAAGCTACAATGATTTACAAATATAAAAACTAAATAATTTTCAGAAGATGCACTTTTTCCAGTTACTGCTAACACTTCCCAAATGTTTCTCAATTTCTCTGGCTTCTCTTGCTATGCAAGCAGAAGTCTCGTCCTTTCCTTTCGTAACTTCCTCCTGAAATCTAGTATGCATATCATCGATCACCCAGCACGCATCCTTAAGAAAATACGCATCCCTCAGCATCAAAGAAACTGCATTCTTTGCTCTTCGTAAAGTATTCAATCCCGGATTGAGTTCGCAGCTTTGGAACTGATTCGTAATGTTGATCATGTTCTTCTGCAGACTCTCAACATGCTCGTACCATCTCCGACAATTACTAGAACCCGTTTTAATATCCATCTTCAGATTCTCAGCTTCAGCATTCAATCTGCTTCTAGTCTGCGAAACTTCATCTTCAATCGATGTCTCCGATGATGAGACCATCTGCTCGACGGAGATGTACACTTGGCGGATCTTAAACTCAAAATCGCTCAAACTGCACTCATCTAAAAACTTTAAACGGAAGGAGTTTAAATATATCAAAATTGATTAAATTATTGGACATACTGCAGCAGGTTGGAAGCAGACGATGCTCAGAAGAATGAAGAATTTAGTTGATGAATGCATTTTCGTTTGAATGCGACTGAGGCGATTTGCAAAATGCTGCAATTTATACAACGTCTTATCGCTGTTTTCCACTTGGAAGATCAATTGGTTCAGATCAATGATATAATTATTTTCGCATGAAAATCTCATGGCAGAAAATGCTTTGATCTGCATTTATAATTATCAACAATTAAGTAATTATTATCACTCATTTCCAAACAATACAAATAAAACATCTAATTTATGTTTTTTTTTTTTAAAGCTATTTATTGCAAATCTTTTATAAATATAAATACTAGGCACTAAGTATGATATATTTGAAGAAGGAAAAAAATAATGGGAATAAATATGTTATGAAATGAACTTAAGCAGAGCTGTTGCATTTTTGCCATCCGCTGGTGGAGCTGTCCAAAAGCTTCTCGATATTCTGAGCCCTAGTAGCGATGCAAGCAGAAGCTTCTCTCTTGATGTTGGAAACGGTATTTTCGGAATTCGAGTGAATAAGATCGATGGCAGAGTTCATGGAGTTAGTCTGAGATGAACAGCTGCTCGGTGAGATGATCGTGCAGAGCGCCATCAACTTATCAGCTTCTCTGACCAAGCTTGCAAGGGAAACCTTAGTTTTGCGAAGAGTATCGAAACCGGAATTGAGTTCGCAGGGTTGGAACTGGTACATGAAGTTGATCATGCTCTTCTGCAGACCCTCGATGTGCTCGTACCAACGTTGGCAGCTGCTAGCACCAGCCTTGATGTCGCTCTTAATATTCTCAGCCCTCGAATTCAATCGGCTTCTCGTCTGGGAGACTTCATCTGCGATCGAGGATTTCGTTGAGGGAACGACCTGTTCGATGTATCTCTGCTCTTGGAGGATCTTCAATTTAACATCGCTCACACTAACAGCATCCAAAAACTACAAATTTATAAAAAAATAAAGTAATTGAAACTAAAAATTAATAATAATAATTTCTTTGACTTACTGCTGGATAAAAGCAAGCGACGACGAGAAGAACCAAGATTTTAGTAGAGGAATGCATGTTTGTTTGCGTTGTACGAGATGCAACTGCCACGATCATCGGGTCACTCCTATTTATACCAAACATCTTATCTCCACTGTTCAACTGGAAATCCGAAGTGTTAATCCAGATCGAGGGGAATTTTTAGTTTTGCACGTAAATCCCCAATGAATTCGCGCGTAGAATTCCCGAGCGTAAGTGCGTCGACCTTAAACCCGTTCCCACGTATCAAGTTCAAGAGCTCGAGAGGCTCAATTTGCATACCTACATCATATCCCTGCCGCTAGGCGTGTCTCCAATTAGCCAATATCACTCGGTTTCCACTTGCACCACTATCTTATTTGCATTTGATCCGCTTCTTATCTCACCTTCAAGTGCATGATTAATCCAATTTATTAGGAAATAAATGCAAAAGTTTTATTGAATTGCAGTAAAATCATGTATAAGAACGTGATTAAAGTCTCAAATTTTGATTTGATTAGAAATAGAAAGGATTCGATTATGTTATGTTATGAAATACGCAAATTTAACAATGAAAGAAAATATTGTTGTTGTCAGTTAATTGGAAATGCCGGAGAATGTCAGAGATCAAAGGTTATTGAGCTGATATTTGTTATCTAGTTTATACAAAACAAGAATATTGTAATTGACCAGTCCTACTCCAACGTTTAAGATGAAATCATCTCAGTGTTTAGCTGTGTTCTTAGTATTCTGCTATTTGCAGGTAAGATTAATAATTAACTTAAATTTTCATTAATTAATCCATTGGTGTAGTCTTCAGAAGCAACTGTAGTCAGCGATGTTAAAGCTAAATTAGCCGTAGAAAGAAAAACCGTCGACGAGAACATCCAAAAATTCCAAAATGCGATCGAACAGAAAGTCTCCGTAAATAGGCAAAAACAGTTGGCGACAATCGACCAGATGGAGAAGGCTATGAAAGAAGGACCAACAAAGTGCCAGCATTACCTTCCGGTGTTCATCAATCAAAGGGGTTTCATAAGTGGACCGACGTTCCTGAAAGGATGCGGTTTCGTACCGAGCATGCAGAAGCTGCTGAAAGCGCAAAAGTCCGTGAAATTCATGGCAAGCGAAGAGCCCAAACTGGACACCGTCTGCACGACACCGACCTCTGAGCCCTGCCAGACGCTCATCGGCCAATTCAATACGGGATTGTCTCTGGTCCGTGCGAACTCTCTAATTCAGATCGCTAACGTTAATGCGGATATGGATAAATGCGTTGCAGAAGAACTGAAGAACATGAACGAGTTTCTTAATGATATTAAAGAGACATGGCTCGAATGCAAGAGGAAGTAAAAACGTATTAGTTTATGTACAAAAATTAACTATATTTTAGAGAATAAACTGATTTAAAAAATAATCAATTACTTTATAATTATCAATAATTCTTTACTACAAACGTAAATGTAATTTCTAGAATTACTTTAATTAAATGAAATTCAAAATTAATCATCAATTTCTCTGAAAAATTACGATTATGTTATTTTGTTTCAAATCAATATGATATGGAAATATTACACATTATTATCTATTTTAATTTATTGATAAAATATTAAATACTTACATTAATGATAAATATGTAAGTAATTAAAATGTATACAATTTTTATAAAAGTTTTATCAACTTTAATGAAATTAATGTAATTAACTTTTGTTTTTAAAACAAAATCTTGTCAATTTAGAATATTTGATTTAATGTTAAGTACTCGAATTCAATCTAAAAGTATAAGAAATCAAAGTTCTTAATAACAATGTATGAAATACTTATAAGTAAAGTCGTTTTACGCCGATTCACAATTTCGCCGCTGTGAAATAACGCTAATTAATTGCTGATTTTACACTTATATAAAACTAAAGCCTACAGTTACGTCACTGTAAATATGGGTTCATTTTACGCCGATTCGATTTCCGACGCCTTTTGTAAACCCGATGTAAAACGACGTTTACCTGTATAAGATTTTCATTTTGAGGATGTTTCTTGTAAACTGCTAATAGTTTATTGATAGTTAAATAAACAAATTAAAATTTAAACTACAGGGAATATTATTGGTAAACGTACATTATTGAGAGATTTATTATTATAAATTTGTGTGAAATAATAAAATAATTTCACGTTCTTTTTTTTGTAAATTAAATTAAGTAATTGTATCAAATCAATAATAACTAATATCGAATATTTCGTTTGTATTCGAATGGTGAAGTGCTAGTCTTTGTTGAAAAACGTTTTTCGAGAGGGTTCTTATTACGGATTATCGATAATCCCGTCGACACAGACTGACAGGTCATGGCTTGATGTACGTTACATCATATATTTATTAAATCCTATTTGCCTAATGGACGTGAACGTACTTCGAAACGTGCGACATAAATTGTAATAAAACTCGAACTCGAACGGATCTGCAAATAATAAATAATATAAAAAGAAAGAAACATATATAAAACCAACCGTATTTGCGGATGTAATTCATATATAAATATGCATCGGTGATGTATATTTATGTGTATTTGCATATCTATATTTGCTAAAAAACGAGTGAATGTATGTATGTAGCAGGTATATTTATTTATAATACGAAACGAGTGAGTGTGCAAGTGACATGGGAACGATATCATTCACATATTGCAATACAATTTTTTTTTTATTCATGCTAGTCTGAAATTCCCGACAGGAAAATTACAGAATGTATATATTTTCAGATAACGATTACATTGAATGCGACTCGTGCATGTAGGAAAAAGACACGAGAGAAGTAAATAAATAACAGTGAAAGCTATTATTTTCAAGCTAATGTTTATGACAAAACCAAATGGATGAAGAGCATCGTAAATCTGCAAAATCTCTCTCCTGACTGAATGACTGACGTGAGCGTAAAAATAGAATAAATAACAACGGAAACTGAAGTCTACTATGGAATGATCGATGCAAGATTTATATGTTTTCAATTTCGTTTGAAAGCTGAGACATTCAGCTTTCATATGAGTGGTCAATGATGTACTTATCTTAAAGGGTTGTCGAAATTATCGTTTCTTACGCAATCATGAAATGCAACAAAAGGTACGTAATTTTCGTGAAATTAAGAAGAAAAAAAACGTGAAAACTTGACGGATCTAAAAAAAAAATCCTATTTACGATTTTTTACAATTTCTACAGCTAATAGCAGGTGACTCGGCGACAGCATGAACATACCAATTGTCTCGTTAGAAAGGTAAGATATTCAGCTTTCATACGAGTGGTCGATGATGTAATTATCTTGAGGGGTTGTCGAGAAATTCACGAAAACTGAAAAAGAAAACGAAAAAAACGTCGTTTCTCTGTTGCGTAACGAACATTACGTAACTTTGGTTACATAAAAAGTTGCGCAACGCATGCGTGCATGTGATTATGCAATAAAATCATAAAACAGTTTATTACTTTTCGAGCTATTGACGAAAATCCAGTTTTTTGGTAAATCCTATTCACTTTTTTTTCAATTTCTACAGCTTATAGCAGGCGACTCGGCAGCAGTACGAAGATGCCAGTAGGCTCGTTGGAAAGGTCAGATATTCAGCTTTCATACGAATGGTTTATGTATTTATGTAATTATCTTAAGGGGTTGTCGAGAAATTCACGAAATAAAAATTGGAAAAAACGTCGATTCTCTGTTACGTAACTTTTGTTAAATAGAAAGTTGCGCAACGCTTGCGTGCATCTAATAAAATAAAATTATAAAAATAGTTTATTACTTTTCGAGCTATTAAAATCCAGTTTTTTGGTAAATTCTATTCACTTTTTTTTCAATTTCTACAGCTTATAGAGAAATTCGTAAAAAAACGGAAGAAAAAAACGAAAAAAACGTCGGTTCTCTGTTACGTAACGAAC